ATGTTTTTTACACCCACCGCTACCGCAAATAAAATGATGGATATAAGTTGATATTATGGCACTAACTGAGTGACCTGTCTAAACCGGCACCCCACGGGACCGAAATAAAATGTCGCAGACAAGGTGCCATCAATTGACGATCATTTTCCCACATTACCCGTTTAGTCGCAGTTGAGTACCCATCAATCAAACCAGAATGGCGGGACTTAATTGACACATGACACATGCACTTCGCCACTAACTTTGAACTGTTTGATTTTGTGGCGCGTCTTCGCTATAGGCATTTAGGCTTGCCTTAAACCATTTGATGCAAATTGTACTATAAAAACACTCAATGATAAGGTACAATTTTACATGACACAACTACTTTTAGAAATCATTATGAGAGGAAATGCTTAGATTTTCAATTATTTAGAGTTTCAACTATTATCAAGCAGCGTAACATGATGTTACATGTAATTTTAACAGTGTGAGCCTTTATACACTCTTCAAAGAAAGAAACGCGTTTTCAGCAGTTCATTTCGTCATTTAGGCAATTCCTGTGTTTGAATCCCTATAATCATGTCGTGGTTGTTGTGTATTGCGCGCAAACGCATCCGAAAATGTGTTTGTAAACGTTTGTCATACAAAATTAAAATGATACATGAAAAGTGTATGCAGAAAAAGCTTTCAACGTAATGCACGTGCAATGTGTTGGACACATAAGTAAAGACATCGACTATAAAAGGCCAAACCAAATTTACCATTTCATTACGAAATTTATGAGGTAAACGAAGAATGCTACTGACCGAAATATCGCAATTGGACGTTTGGAAGCAGGGGAGCCCCAGTCTGCCGATGCAAAACACTTCACCACAGCACCATATTTCGATTATTACATCGATATAACTGCTTCAATTAGACCCAAGATCGTCCCAAAAGTGGAAGAACAGAGTGACCACTCCTGCTCAGGACCGATTCATCCGGGTATTTCACCTACGTCACCCATTTGCTACAAAAACGGACACTGCAAGACAGGTGCCTGGTCTTCGAAGAATTTCTTACCAAACCATCAGAAATCGTCTGAAAGATGTGGGGACTCGAGAATATTGAACAAAAGTTGGACCTGACTACACCGACAACGACGTGTCGATTGGTGGAACCGGGTATAGGCATGGAACCTGGGAAAAGCATGGAACGCGTTTGGTTCGTGTCCTGCAACGACGGAATGGGAGACAACGTGTCTATCGACGTCGACACGAAGTCAGTCTTACGGCAAGTCGCTACATCGACCAAATCCTGCGACCTCACACTTTTTAACTAACAGCTTTAAACTATATTCAAAGACATCCTAAATGCAAACAATATATAATCTATTCAGATTCTCTTTCGTGCCTTCAGGCTATTAAAAATCTTTGTTGCAAACATCCACGTTTAATTGAAATTATTGAATTATATAATGATCTTGCTACTGGCCAATACGACATCGTCTTTTGTTGGTAACCCAGCCACGTTGGCATTTCTGGGAACACAATGGCCGATCTTGCTGCTAAGGCAGCACTCAACGAATCTGTGACACCACTTCTGTTCCCATACTCTGATTACAAAGCTGCTATTAGATCTTATATTCGTGATCTGATGCAAAAAGAAGTGGGACACCCAAGTAGGTATCAATAAAACCAACTATCGGGTCCACCTACTTGGGTTGTCAGTCCAGATTTGAAGAGGTCATCATACGACGATGTCGTATTGGCCACACAAGATATACTCATGAGTACCTATTAAAAGGCAAGGATCCTCCGTTTTGTATCCCTTGTGATGAAAGAATCACGGTCAAGCATGTCTTGCTTGACTGTGTTGAATATTCCATCACAAGGGATAACTATTTCAAATCACGAACCATAAAGGATCTTTTTACCAATATAAGTTCTCATTTAATTATTGCATTTTTAAAAGAATTAGACTTGTTAACTGATTTGTAAAAAGATACATATTTTATTATTGGTAGTTTAGATTAGTAACTGAGATTGTTAGTGGCTGTACCCTCAAAGGGGGTTGACGTAGCGTAAAATTATTATCCTCCTGAGAAGGTACTTAAGTCCCGAAACATTTAAAGGAAATTTCAATTTACCAGCTGTTTTAAATGTAGTATTCTTGTCATTTTAATTTTGGCTAAATTTGACTTCAATCGCCAGCGGCTGAAGGGATGATATAAATCCAACTAGGTCCATGCAGGTAGCAAAAGTACTGTAAGTCATCGTGGTCCCTAGTTTGGTGATGTACCTTCAGTTGTTGGCGATCTATAGCCTGTTTTTATATTGTGTTGTCCCCTATAGTTAGAATGTTTTAAATATAATTACTAGTCTTACATGTATATCTGTGATATTCTAGTTGTTTTTATGTCCTTCGATGACAGATTATTACGTTATACATTTATTGATTTGCCTATTGATATCAACTGTTCTCGTCACGATAGGGCTGCAATATTGCCGATGTGACGTTAAACTTTAACTCACTCACTCACTCGCTTTTTAACTGACAGAGAGAGCTGTTTCAACACGACAACGCTCGACCCCACACAGCTCGTGTAACAGGTGCCTATTTCGCCAATGCAAACGTCAATATCCTTCCCTGGCGTTCCAAATCCCCTGATCTGAACCCGATGGAGCATGTATAGGACGAATTTGATCGACGCGTTCGTAAACGTCACCATCGCCCTCAGACACTTGGGGAACTTGCCAACGCGTTGCAGGAGGAATGGCAAAGAATTCCCCAAGCAAAAATCCGACGACTTGTGCAATCCCTTCCAAGGCGGTGTTGAGCAGTGACGGCTGCAAGGGGTGGTGTCACCAGGTACTGACCTGAACGCCCCCTTCTGTCCACACATGTGCAGTGGGGGAACTGGCTTAATGCTGACAATGACAACAATACATATGTTTACCCGTGTGTAGAATTTCCTTCATCTATGTTCAAGCTTAATCAGCTAATGTACACTTAAATACGATTAATAGTAAATTAATACATTTCCTTATTTTTAGCATGTGAGTTTCTTTTTTTGAAGAGTCTATTATTCTCTACACATTATCGAAAACGTGGGTAAAACTCAGAAAAACTAAAGATATCCTAATACGGCGATGTGAATTTGGATCCTATATGCTGGTCTGATTGTACCTATGAACGCGTTACCGTAATATCCCCAAGTAAGTACAATCATAAAATAGATAAAACACACAATATACAAAACCAATAACTTACAATTACCAGTACAACCAGAAATTATTGAGAATTTCAAGATTGTAAATGTTTTATTTTTTTCACTCATTACTCACGTATTAAATGTGAATATTAGCAGAACGTAATTCCTGATTCAAAGACAGGTGAACAGTTAGTATTTTGTCAAATCACCATGGGCAGCAATGCAGGCTTCAATGCGGCGGGGCATACTACTGATCAAAGAAGTTAGAGAGTCGTTGTCCATGCTGTCCCAATATCGGACCACCTCTTCTTTCATTTCAGCAATATTTGTCAGATTTGTCTTATTGACACTTTCCTTCATAAGTCCCCAAACATTTTCTACTGGATTTAGGTCAGGGCTATAGCTTGGCCAACCTAATAATGTCATATTTTTGGGTCCGAAACCAGGCCTGTAAATGCTTTGAACGATGTTTTGGGTCGTTGTCCTGCTGGAAAATCCAAAATTTCCATAGAACTCTTGAGCAGATGGAAGTAAATGTCCCTCGAGAATATCTGTGTACCGCTCACTGTTCATATTCCCTTCAAATACACAGAGGGGCGTTGCCCCTATCACAGATATGCAACCCCACACGTTAAACTTCAGACTGTACTTTGGGCGCTGATACAAGGTTTTTCAGTTTGTGTGGTCCAGAATTTCAGTGTATTAGGAAACAGTCAGACAGAACTTTCATCTGAGAAAAATCACATTGTCCCAGTTAAAATTTCTATGCTGTAAGCACCGGTTCAACCTTCGCTCCTATTGTTCAGGTTTCATGATCGATGATGGAATTCCTCGACTTTTCTGCCAACCCATTCGGAGTCAGTATAATGTGTTTGAGTGGGGTATTCATGCTTCACTGCGGCATGGTATCTCAGTGGGCTAGCACTATAAAACCAGCTTCAGTCTGGGTTAGTACAAGTAGCCGCACATACAAATACACACGAATGTACGTCGTCATATGAGCGAAATATTCTCAAGCACGACGTTAAACCCAATTCCACCACCACCACCATTCCACCATCTATTCCTCCTCCCAATTCTTCCACCTTACTTCCACTACCCTTCATCCCACCACCCGTCCATCCTTCCACCATCCGTCCTTCCTCCACCATCCGCCCTTCCTTCTTCCTTCCTTCCTTCTTCCTTCCTTCCTTCTTCCTCCTTCCTTCCTTCCTTCCTTCCTTCCTTCCTTCCTTCCTTCCATTCCTTCCTTCCTTCTTCCTTCCTTCCATTCCTTCCTTCCTTCCTTCCTTCCTTCCTTCCTTCCTTCCTTCCTTCCTTCCTCCCTTCCTTCCCTCCTCCTTTTCCTTCCTTCCTTCCATTCCTCTTTCCTTCCTTCCTTCCTTCCTTCCATTCCTCCTTCCTTCCTTCCTTCCTTCCTTCCATCCTTCTTCTTCCTTCCTTCCTTCCTTCCTCCTTCCTTCCTTCCTTCTCTTCCTTCCTTCCTTCTTTCCTCCTTCTTCCTTCCTTCTTCCTTCATTTCCTTCCTCCTTCTTTCCTTCCTTCCTTCTTCCACCTTCTTCTTCCTTCCTTCCTTCCCTCTTTCCTTCCTTTCTTCCTTCCTTCCTTCTCCTTCCTTCCTTCCTTCCTTTCTTTCCTTCTTTCCTTCCTTTCTTCCTTTCTTCCTTCCTTCCTTCCTTCCTTCCTTCCTTTCCTTCCTTCCTTCTTTTCCTTCCTTCCTTCCTTCCTTCCTTCCTTCCTTCTTCCTTCCTTTCCTTCCTTCCTTCTCCTTCCTTCCTTTCTTCCATTCCTTCCTTTCCTTCCTTCCATTCCTTCCTTCCAACAACAAACTAAACACTATTTATACTATTTACACTATTTTACTATGTCATTTCTTAATTTTCTTTATTTTTCGGCCCTTTTTTCGGCCTTTTTGACTTTTCATTTTGGCCCATTTGACCTTTAGCCTCGGTCCTTTTGACTTTACTTTTCGGCCCTTTTGACTACAACCCCCTTACATCTTCCTCCACCTCCCTTCCTTACATCTTCATTCCTTCCACCTCCCTTCCTTACACCTTCATTCCTTTCACCTCCCTTCCTTATACCATAATTCCTTCCATCTCCCTTCTTTACACTTCCCTTCTTTACACCTCCCTTCTTTACACCTCCCTTCTTTACACCTCCCTTCTTTACACCTCCCTTCCTTATACCTTCATTCCTTCCACCCCCTTCCTTACACCTTCATTCCTTCCACCTCCCTTCCTTACACCTTCATTCCTTCCACCTCCCTTCCCTATACCTTCATTCCTTCCACCTCCCTTCTTTACACTTCCCTTCTTTACACCTCCCTTCATTACACCTCCCTTCTTTACACCTCTCTTCCTTCCACCTTCATTCCTTCCACCTCCCTTCCTTCCACCTAATTTCCTTCCACCTCCCTTCCTTCCACCTCCCTTCCTTCCACCTTCATTCCTTGCACCTCCCTTCTTTACACCTCTCTTCCTTACACCTTACCTCCTTACACCTTCCTGCCTTACACCTTCCTTCCACCTCCCTTCCTTTCACCCTCCTTACTGCTTTACTATGCACTATCAATCCATCATGTGGTCTTTGAGGAGTGGAATCTTGAAGAAAAGAGACATCATCGTGTCGTGTTCCATAACATTGAAAACATAGGTATTCCATGTATTCCGAAACATAAATATATGCAAAACCTTTTTCACAAAGGGACCTTCTACACGGACAAAGATCCTGCAGAGCATGTGTTCAGCCTTATCGAGGTTTTCCCCACAGATACTAATTTTAACTTTGCTTGTTATTTGTCAGAATGTTGTTTACAATACTGTCCCTTCTTATTTATTTGTTCATTTAGTCGTTCCATAGTTATCAATGACCAGATACTGAACAGGGGGCGCTCCGTCGTCAGGGCGTGTTGTTGTCTCCCCTACTTTGGATTGGTTCAGGAACTTGCGCAGTGTTGCTGTAAGATTTGCATTGCCATTCTGCTCAAAGGTCTTGTTGTAATTGGAGTCTTCATCTCTTAAGCGGTCAATTTCTAGAAGATATCTGGTACTGCCATAATCTGTCTTACCCTCTCTCCCCATGGGTGGCTTCAGCCATTTTGGTAATATCCCTTCAATGAATATGACAATGGACAATCTCTGAAGCCACAAGAGCTTGTTTGAATTCTCGACACTTTCGCATGTGGTGGACATAATGGCGATGAGGATGTTGAGGAGAAATATCTGGATGACTATCACCGAAACAGCAAAAACTAGGACAGATCCCTGGCTCGATTCTTCAAGTTGTTCTAACTGTCCTTGACCAGTCATCAGACTGAACGTGGTTAGTAGGCTGACAGAGAAGTTACCAAACATCTCAGGACGAGTTTCCGCAAACGAGCTGTGCAATGCGCTTGTAAATCCTACTATCATTATGAAAATGATTGGTATAAATTTTACCATATCTCCAAAGAGGACCTTTTGTAACATCAGTGTTATGTAGCTCAAAGGATTGATTCCACGCAGGAAGAAAGTTGTTGACCACCAACCAAGGATCAATGCTATTACCAGACAATAATTGTTTGTAACAGTTCCAACATTCCACGACGCGTCTATCAGTAATGCAAAACCAAATAGCACAAAAATGCATCGGTACACTCCATTGTGATGCAGTTTTGTTAGATGGAAGGGTTGCCAAGAAATACAACTTCTGTGGAACTCAAGAATTATATAGAGGAGACTTATGACGATTGAGAAGATACTCAAACCCACCAAGGTTTGTTTCTGTGCCGTGTCTGGATTCATGATGGCGTCAACTTTCAGATCCAAATGCCAGGTTAGGATGCTCATTAGTGCCAGGTGAAGAACGAGGAAAAGGTAGTAGACGAGCGAGTACCGCTTCCACTTCAGGAACAAAACTTCTTGGACTGTGTAGTTGTTCAGAAACGCAAATGCCGTGGTTGACTTTAAACCGCAAATGTTTTCCAAAATACTCTGGTTCGTATTTTGTCTCCGATTCTTGCAATAGCTTACAATCCATGTGTCCTGCTTGCCTTTAGACAATCCTTCAGCTCTGTGTTCTGTGTTCCTGTAGTCAGGTGACATCTGCAGAACGGCTCTATCCCAGGTTGCCTTATCAAGCTCTGTTATATCACATTCGTAGATATCAAAAACGCCGTCGTGACTAGAGAAGAACTTGTATGCATCCTTCAGTTCAAGGATGTGACTAAACACGTTGTCCAGACCCAGCTCAGCAGCAAGATGGAGTGCAGTTTGTTTTCGGGCATTTTCTCGTTGTACAGTTTGTCTGTTATTCCTTTGGTTCTGCTGTGCCAACTTGTCAAACATCCTCAGAATATCAGGCTCTTTTTCTGGGTAGAAAGATGCGTACAGGACCATCGAGTGAAAAACTGTATTCCCACAACTGTCCGAGTCATTTAGATCAGCGCCATTTTTAAGAAGAAGGTCAACTATAGTTTCATTATTATCCAAAGCAGCAATGGACAAAGGCGTCCCTCCTAACATAACGGTACCTCTTAATTTCTTTCCGGAAACTTTACGTTCTATCGCCTCGTGGTGCATGCCTTTATCTTTGAGTGAGACAATCATGGCTTCCACTAGATCTTGCCCATCACCCGTGTAAGGATTGGCCTTGGCTATGGCAATGTGGAAAGGCGTCTGTCCACGATAGTCCTCATCCTTTCTATCACAGTTGATTAAACCTGGATCACATTCAAATATTTTCTTGGCAACTTCATTCCTCTGACAGCTGACGGCAATATGAAGCAGAGACTCTCCGGAATCTGACTCTTGTAGTCTTTTATGCTTTGTCTTCTCCCTACCATTAAATCTGTAGCTGGTTAGTCTGTCTCTGTTCTTAGTCTTTTCTTTGTTCTTCCCCAAGTTCTGACTTAAAGATTTAATCAAATCGTCTTCTCCCACAGTCTTGTCCATTAATTCCAATACAAAGTCCAACATGAAATCTCTTCCCTTACGTGACATCTTTCCCGCTTCAGAGTTGTAATTTCTGGAAATAAACCAAACAGCAGCCTGTAAGTTTTTGTCCCATTCCCTTTCCTAACGTTCATGAAAGAAAATTGGATATTGCCCACATGTGAGGTTACAGAAAGAAGAAATGTCTAATACAGATTTTTCTTCTGTGACCATGCTGGTAAGAGGCAACAAACGGGATCGGGTGGTTAGGCTCGCTGACTTGGTTGAAATATGTCATCGTATCCCAGTTGCGTAGATCGATGCTCATTCTGTTGATCACTGGATTGTCTGTTCCAGACTCGGACAGACTTTTTTACTGACCGCCGCCATATAGCTGGAATATTGGTGAGTGTGGCGTAAAACTAAACTCACTCACTCAGTGTCTAAGGTGGAACCCGGACAAACAAGAATAACGAATCCATTGACATTTCTTTTTATATCAAAGGATTAAACATCCCGTTAAAACTTTATCCACACGTCAGACAATTAGGATGACTGAGGACACTGCATACAGTCGTGGCTCTCTTAATAGAAATTAATAAACCGTTCAATCATAGGAAACTTCCTTAGTCTAGATTAATCGGACAGGATGCTTTCGTCGGGAAGTGTTATTATACAACCCAGACATCATGCAGTCACAACTTCCAGTAATGATAAACGATGTCAAGCTCAGACCCAGACATCATGCAATCACAACTTCCAGTAATGATACAAAAAGTCAAGCTCAGAGCCAGACATCATGCAGTCACAACTTCCAGCAATGATGCAAGAAGTCAAGCTCAGAGCCAGATATCATGCCAGTCACAACTTCCAGCAATGATGCAAGAAGTCAAGCTCAGAGCCAGACATCATGCAGTCACAACTTCCAGCAATGATACAAGAAGTCAAGCTCAGAGCCAGACATCTTCCAGTCACAACTTCCAGCAATGATGCAAGAAGTCAAGCTCAGAGCCAGACATCATGCAATCACAACTTCCAGCAATGATGCAAGAAGTCAAGCTCAGAGCCAGACATCTGCCAGTCACAACTTCCAGCAATGATGCAAGAAGTCAAGCTCAGAGCCAGACATCATGCAATCACAACTTCCAGCAATGATGCAAGAAGTCAAGCTCAGAGCCAGACATCATGCAGTCACAACTTCCAGCAATGATGCAAGAAGTCAAGCTCAGAGCCAGACATCATGCAGTCACAACTTCCAGCAATGATGCAAGAAGTCAAGCTCAGAGCCAGATATCATGCAATCACAACTTCCAGCAATGATGCAAGAAGTCAAGCTCAGAGCCAGACATCTTCCAGTCACAACTTCCAGCAATGATGCAAGAAGTCAAGCTCAGAGCCAGATATCATGCAGTCACAACTTCCAGCAATGATGCAAGAAGTCAAGCTCAGAGCCAGACATCTTCCAGTCACAACTTCCAGCAATGATGCAAGAAGTCAAGCTCAGAGCAAGACATCATGCAGTCACAACTTCCAGCAATGATGCAAGAAGTCAAGCTCAGAGCCAGATATCATGGAGTCACAACTTCCAGCAATGATGCAAGAAGTCAAGCTCAGAGCCAGACATCTTCCTGTCACAACTTCCAGCAATGATACAAGAAGTCAAGATCAGAGCCAGACATCTTCAAGTCACAACTTCCAGCAATGATGCAAAAAGTCAAGCTCAGAGCCAGATATCATGCAGTCACATCTTCCAGCAATGATACAAGAAGTCAAGCTCAGAGCCAGACATCTTCCTGTCACAACTTCCAGCAATGATGCAAAAAGTCAAGCTCAGAGCCAGATATCATGCAATCACAACTTCCAGCAATGATGCAAGAAGTCAAGCTCAGAGACAGATATCATGCAATCACAACTTCCAGCAATGATACAAGAAGTCAAGCTCAGAGCAAGACATCTTCCAGTCACAACTTCCAGCAATGATGCAAGAAGTCAAGCTCAGAGCCAGACACCATGCAATCACAACTTCCAGCAATGATGCAAGAAGTCAAGCTCAGAGCCAGACATCATGCAGTCACAACTTCCAGCAATGATGCAAAAGGTCAAGCTCAGAGCCAGACATCTTCCAGTCACAACTTCCAGCAATGATGCAAGAAGTCAAGCTCAGAGCCAGATATCATGCAGTCACAACTTCCAGCAATGATGCAAGAAGTCAAGCTCAGAGCCAGACATCATGCAGTCACAACTTCCAGCAATGATGCAAGAAGTCAAGCTCAGAGCCAGACATCATGCAATCACAACTTCCAGCAATGATGCAAGAAGTCAAGCTCAGAGCCAGACATCATGCAATCACAACTTCCAGCAATGATGCAAGAAGTCAAGCTCAGAGCCAGACATCATGCAGTCACAACTTCAGCAATGATGCAAGAAGTCAAGCTCAGAGCCAGATATCATGCAGTCACAACTTCCAGCAATGATGCAAGAAGTCAAGCTCAGAGCCAGACATCATGCAGTCACAACTTCCAGCAATGATGCAAGAAGTCAAGCTCAGAGCCAGACATCATGCAGTCACAACTTCCAGCAATGATGCAAGAAGTCAAGCTCAGAGCCAGACATCATGCAATCACAACTTCCAGCAATGATACAAGAAGTCAAGATCAGAGCCAGACATCTTCAAGTCACAACTTCCAGCAATGATGCAAAAAGTCAAGCTCAGAGCCAGATATCATGCAGTCACATCTTCCAGCAATGATACAAGAAGTCAAGCTCAGAGCCAGACATCTTCCTGTCACAACTTCCAGTAATGATGCAAAAAGTCAAGCTCAGAGCCAGATATCATGCAATCACAACTTCCAGCAATGATGCAAGAAGTCAAGCTCAGAGACAGACATCATGCAATCACAACTTCCAGCAATGATACAAGAAGTCAAGCTCAGAGCAAGACATCTTCCAGTCACAACTTCCAGCAATGATGCAAGAAGTCAAGCTCAGAGCCAGACACCATGCAATCACAACTTCCAGCAATGATGCAAGAAGTCAAGCTCAGAGCCAGACATCATGCAGTCACAACTTCCAGCAATGATGCAAAAGGTCAAGCTCAGAGCCAGACATCTTCCAGTCACAACTTCCAGCAATGATGCAAGAAGTCAAGCTCAGAGTCAGATATCATGCAATCACAACTTCCAGCAATGATGCAAGAAGTCAAGCTCAGAGCCAGACATCATGCAGTCACAACTTCCAGCAATGATGCAAGAAGTCAAGCTCAGAGCCAGACATCATGCAATCACAACTTCCAGCAATGATGCAAGAAGTCAAGCTCAGAGCCAGACATCATGCAATCACAACTTCCAGCAATGATGCAAGAAGTCAAGCTCAGAGCCAGACATCATGCAGTCACAACTTCCAGCAATGATGCAAGAAGTCAAGCTCAGAGCCAGAGTCACAATCATGCAGTCAGCCAACTTCCAGCAATGATGCAAGAAGTCAAGCTCAGAGCCAGACATCATGCAATCACAACTTCCAGCAATGATGCAAGAAGTCAGAGCCAGACAAGCTCACTTCCAGCCAGACAAGAAGTCATCAGAGCCAGACATCATGCAATCACAACTTCCAGCAATGATGCAAGAAGTCAAGCTCAGAGCCAGACATCATGCAGTCACAACTTCCAGCAATGATGCAAGAAGTCAAGCTCAGAGCCAGATATCATGCAGTCACAACTTCCAGCAATGATGCAAGAAGTCAAGCTCAGAGCCAGACATCATGCAATCACAACTTCCAGCAATGATGCAAGAAGTCAAGCTCAGAGCCAGACATCATGCAATCACAACTTCCAGCAATGATGCAAGAAGTCAAGCTCAGAGCCAGACATCATGCAGTCACAACTTCCAGCAATGATGCAAGAAGTCAAGCTCAGAGCCAGACATCATGCAATCACAACTTCCAGCAATGATACAAGAAGTCAAGATCAGAGCCAGACATCTTCAAGTCACAACTTCCAGCAATGATGCAAAAAGTCAAGCTCAGAGCCAGATATCATGCAGTCACATCTTCCAGCAATGATACAAGAAGTCAAGCTCAGAGCCAGACATCTTCCTGTCACAACTTCCAGTAATGATGCAAAAGTCAAGCTCAGAGCCAGATATCATGCAATCACAACTTCCAGCAATGATGCAAGAAGTCAAGCTCAGAGACAGACATCATGCAATCACAACTTCCAGCAATGATACAAGAAGTCAAGCTCAGAGCAAGACATCTTCCAGTCACAACTTCCAGCAATGATGCAAGAAGTCAAGCTCAGAGCCAGACACCATGCAATCACAACTTCCAGCAATGATGCAAGAAGTCAAGCTCAGAGCCAGACATCATGCAGTCACAACTTCCAGCAATGATGCAAAAGGTCAATGATGCAAAGGGCTCAGAGCCAGACATCTTCCAGTCACAACTTCCAGCAATGATGCAAGAAGTCAAGCTCAGAGTCAGATATCATGCAATCACAACTTCCAGCAATGATGCAAGAAGTCAAGCTCAGAGCCAGACATCATGCAGTCACAACTTCCAGCAATGATGCAAGAAGTCAAGCTCAGAGCCAGACATCATGCAATCACAACTTCCAGCAATGATGCAAGAAGTCAAGCTCAGAGCCAGACATCATGCAATCACAACTTCCAGCAATGATGCAAGAAGTCAAGCTCAGAGCCAGACATCATGTAGTCACAACTTCCAGCAATGATGCAAGAAGTCAAGCTCAGAGCCAGATATCATGCAGTCACAACTTCCAGCAATGATGCAAGAAGTCAAGCTCAGAGCCAGACATCATGCAATCACAACTTCCAGCAATGATGCAAGAAGTCAAGCTCAGAGCCAGACATCATGCAATCACAACTTCCAGCAATGATGCAAGAAGTCAAGCTCAGAGCCAGACATCATGCAGTCACAACTTCCAGCAATGATGCAAGAAGTCAAGCTCAGAGCCAGATATCATGCAGTCACAACTTCCAGCAATGATGCAAGAAGTCAAGCTCAGAGCCAGACATCATGCAGTCACAACTTCCAGCAATGATGCAAGAAGTCAAGCTCAGAGCAAGACATCATGCAGTC